CACACACACACACACACACACACACACACACACACACACACACACACACACACACACACACACACACACACATGGAGACGCCAAAAAATGAAGTGACGCTTGGGTCCCGTCTGGCGACGCGTTATGTGCCAAACCAGATTCTCTCCTCCACCCTCTCGTGGGGTCCCCTCATTGGTGTCGAGGAAGTCCTGCGGCTGGAGAAGCGCTTTGCGGCGCGGAGCATCACCCAAGATGGTGACCCCGCAATCACGAAGGAGTGGCTCATCCACTTCATCATGGAGGTTCTCGAGGAGAAGGCCAGGTTTACCACCAACGGCGTGGAGCTTGAGGAGGTGGTGAGCAGCGAGCTGCCGCTGTTGGATGAGGACAAGATGAGCGTGTATAGAGAGGAGGTGCTGCGGTGGGTCGGCTCCTTCTCCATCCAGCTCTCCGTGCACGACCCGCTGTGGGAGGCCTGTGAGACCAGCAACGCCGGGCTTGCACGCCTCGAACGCAGCACGTGTAACACCACGCAGGCAAGCTCGTTGCACACCGTGAGCTCGTTTAGCACCGCGAGGCAGGGCAAGTCTACCACGACCACCTTCACGACTGCCAGCGTCCCTAACAGCAGTAGTGGGACTGATAGCAAACCGCGAAAAGGGCGCCTGGAGCGCTCACGCTCGGTGGCTCGCATGCTGTTGAATTACAACTTGCCTTCCATGTCTGTCGCCTCGCAGCGGAAGGAGCCGGTGCAGCACGAGATTGTGCGGTGGAGTGACCTGACCACAAACTTCGTGAAGGACTATGAGCGGTTTCATCAGCTTGACGAAAATGAGTTGACCTTCACCCGCGTACGCGCGGGACCCGCGTCGGGGCATTCCTCTCCCCTGCGTTCCTCCCAGGGGAAGAATGGCGCGGAGGCGCATTGGTCAAGGGTGGCAGGGGGCAGGCGCGACTCGGAGCCCGACGCGCTCAGCGGCAAGGAGTTCCACGTACAGTCCGCGGATCAGGTCCTGGTGGCGCCCCAGACAGGCTGCATCATCACGGCTAGCAAAGACGGCGTTGTAAAGCTGTGGGACGGGGAGACGGGGGGATTTATGCGCAACCTCTACAATGCGGGGACGGCATGGGTGATTGGGATGTTTTTGCTGCCGGACGAGGACCACATTCTCATCGCGACGACGAACAGCCAGTTGACGGTGTTGGATTTCCCTGAGGGGAACGTGCTGCAGAAGTACCTCGGATGCACCTCGCTGCAGTCGGCTCTCTACGAGGTCGTGCAGTTGTCCGCGACGAAAGTGCAGCGGTATGGGATGAGGCCGGGGGAGTGCGGGATGTACCGTGTGGCGCTGCGCAAGGATGAGTCGGCAGAGAAGTATCACCGCCGTCGTCGCGAGACGCAAAACTACGCCTTTGCAAAAACGCTCCCAGCAAAGCCTGTGGTGGGTTTTGACGCCCCAACCGCGTCGTGGTATGACACCTTCTCGGGGATTTTCTTCTTTGGCACCGCCGACGGCGTCGTTGGGGCTTTTGACATCGCCGCCGACGTGCGCCCAAGCTCCCTCATGGCCGGGGCGAACAGCAAACCCGTGCATCTGCTTTTCATGGCGGAGGTCCACGCGGCAGCGGTGGTGGGCATGTTCTACACCTCCTACGTCACCTCGCTCTTCACGGCTGGGGCGGACGGCCGCATTTACCGCACTCCGCTCGGTTCGACAGGGAGGCCCTTGGGGGAGCCGCGCCTTATTCTCCAGCAGGCAAGAGCGATCCGCGCGATGCAGTGGTGGCCGCCGTCAAAGTTCTACGTCACGATTCACGTGGATCGGCGGGTCGCCCTGTGGGTGATTGGGCGCTACGGTGACCCCCTCTTCGAGTTTCCATCCGAGTCGCAGGGAATCGTCAGTGCGGCCCTGCACCCACGGCGACAGCGGCTTGCACTGCTGCTCTCGGACAAGACCATTAAGGTGTATGAGACGCACGGCAACAAGTCGCTGGCCACCATTGCGCAGCCGGCGCAGGAGTCGAACTTTACCGCGACAGATGCCTCGCGGCAGATGATGGAGCGCTCCGCCATTGACGAAGACGGTGTCTTGGCGTGGCACCCGCTTCATTCGTCTCTCATTTGTTGTCTTCGGGCGGCAGTCATTTACGAGCCGTCGCGCAGCCAGCTGCAGGCGGCCGAGCCTAGTGCGGGGTCCGGGCGCCCGCTCTCCGGGGACGAGCGTGACGCGTCTTGCCGGAGCTACTTCCAGGAGGTCAAGAGGACCGGCGCGGAGAAGTCACGAATGCGGGGCTCAGTGGGCTTCGTGGAACCGCGACGCGTGGACACCCACCGTGGCGGGGTTGTTGCAATGGCTGTGCAGCGGCAGTCGTGGCAGATACACACATTCGATGAGGGGTGCTGGCGCACCTGGGACCTGGCGACGGGCGAGCTGAGGCGAAGCGTGGACGTCCCTCGCGTCGCGCGCATGGAGCACATGCCTGTGAAGCGGGCCACCGTTGCCTCCAGCTCGTGGACGACGGCGCTTCAAACACGACTAGCAACGGGTGGCCAGGATGGTTCGGTCCTCACCTGGGACCCTTCCACGGCCGCCCCGCTCGCGGCAGAGATGCTGGTGCAGGACATTTCCGAGCAGCTGGACTCGGATGTAACGGTGATGTCGCATAGAAACAAACTGATCGCGTGGAGCGCGCGTGTGTGTCGCGTCACGAGCTACAACTCTGGTTTGTTCCTCCCCAGCGGGCTCGAGGAGAGTAAGTCGGTTGTCTTGCGTGTGCCCTCGCTGTCCTCTGTCACCGCCTGCTGCGTCGTGCGGGATGCGTACCTTTGCTTGGGCACCGGTGACGCCAGGATATTCTTCTTTAGCATCCGCGGTGGGGCACCCACCCACGACTGCGTCCTACGCGATAAGACGGAGGAGGAGCGGGGCGCCGTTGTGCAACTCATCTTCTTGAACGAGCAAAACCAGAACCTCATCCTCGTCATCCTCGACGTTGGTATCCTCTTTGTGTACTCCTACGTCAACCAGGCCGTCGTGTACCGCCTGCGCCTGGTGCGGCGCTTTGAGTGCCGCATCCACAAGGCGCTGTACATCCCGGAGGACGGCAGCGTCGTCTGTGGGGACTCCCTGGGCCGCGTTCGCGTCCTCGATGTGCGCGGCTGCACCTCCCCTTCGGCGGAGTTTCGCCAGGTCATAATCCCGCGGGCGACGTTTCAGGGCGCCACGGACGAAGTCAACGCATTGGACTATTGCCATCTCGCAGGCCGCCGCTACCTGCTCGTGGGTTCCCTGGACCACATGGTGCGTCTCTTCGACGTGGACGACGCGAACTGGCTGCAGGCCCCCTACTCCAGCACGAGCCCGTTGCGATCCACGCAGGCCACTGTGCGGTTTGTCGGGGTCTTTGGCCACGACTCATGGAGGCTTGCAGATCCCACAACCTTCAGCGAATTTCCGCCCGTGGCGCCGCCTGTGCTGGCGGCCAACACCGCGGAAGAAGAAGTTCTGCTGGAGAGCATTCTACACGCAGACGTGCGATCCGGCGGCGTCAAGAGCGTCATGGACTCACTGCTGGACGATGACACGGCCGTGTCCCGTGGTCGGTCGCGTAGAGGCACGAGGGCCGGAACGCCCTTCTCTGGGCCGGCGTCACCGAAGGCGCCGCTCGCGCGGCCGTTTTTTCTTACAGACGTGGCCAATCCCCAGGAGGAGATACGCATGCGCTCCTTCTCAAACATCTCCATGGAAAGCGCCAGGCAGCCGCAGCCTACGCAGCGCTTGCAGGAGCAGCAGGGCACACCGCTGCTTTCCTCCCTGCCGGAGGGAGGTGGCCTCCTCTTGTCGCGAACGACGGAGCACTCATTGCCGCAGCAGCAGCAGCAGCCGCCGCCGCCGCCGTGCGTTGGGCGGCGCTCGCAGCTTCGCGCCGGCGCGTGTGAGGCGCCCCCAACCCCGACCCCAAGCCCCAGTCCAGGCCAAGCCCCGCTCGCCACGGAGCAACAGTCGCCCGGGCGACAGGGCGAAAGCCCACGCGAGGACACCAGCCTTTGCCCCGTCTCCTCGACAGGGTTCGATCCGATGCAGAGGAAGAAGCGGGCGCTGCTGGGCATGACACGGCGCCTAGAGGCGGTGCTGCCGAAGGGTTTTGCCAACGGCGAACTCGCCAGGAAGGCCAACGAGCTGCTCATGGGGGACACACGCCTGGGTTTTCGGCAGACCAAGTCGGGGCGAAGTCGGCCGGAGAGCGGCGAGCTGCAGTTGGCCCTCGAGACGCGCCGCCGACTGGCGGAAAGGATGGAGGAGTACAAAAAGACGCAAGCGAAGCGACGCAGCGAAAAGAGGAACTCCCTGCCGCTTGTTGCGGCGCGGCATAAACTCACTCCTGTCGTGTTCCCGCAGCCGAGCGTTCTCCCCAGTGAGGCAAAGGCCAGCTTCGTCTGGATGCTCAACGCTCCGTCGGTGGAGGTGCCGCAGCGGCCTGTCACACATGCGAGGAACGCAATGTAAAGAAATTCCTCACATTTGTGAGGAAGAGGCATCCGCGGCCACGTGGGCCACTGAGAGGAGGAAAAAAGGAAGGAAAGGAACGACAAAAAAAGCCAACAAGCAAAACACAAGAATGCTACATTCGCTGGCATGTTTAATGTGTAGTGCATGTGAAGTTTTCTGTCTTTTTTCTTTCCTTCTTTTATTATATATATATATATATATGTCTATGTGTATCCGTGTGTAACTGCCGCTTCTGTTTTTTTTTTTTGTGTTGCTGCTGACGATGGCGACGAGCGCATTGGCCGAGCATCGTAACGGCGCAAGTGCGTGGGAAAGAGGCACGGGACGTGCGCTGCGTCACTGTTTCTGCGAACCCCCTTCCTCCCTCCTCGTGCGCTGCGCCACGCCGCTCCCCCGCGCCCACGGCACTGCACACCGGCCGCTGGTGTTCGCTCTATGATCCCGCGTCCTGTCGCTTCGCTTCCTTCCGCGCAGCAGAGTAGCGGCGGTGTCGCGTGTGTGGAGGGGCGAAGGGCGGCCGGGCTGTGGACCCCCTCCTTTTTTTTTCTTTGTCGTTGTTTTTTTGTATTGTTTTTGATTTTCTTTCACGCGGGGAGGACGCGAGCGCGCTGACGACGGCGCCCCCGCGGAAACTGCAATGGCGTACCTTGTGCGGCCGCCCCTCGTCCCGGAGCCGCCCTCGGGTTCCGCGCCCCACAAGAGACGCGTCCCCGACAACGACGACGACCTCTACCGCGAGGCCGTGAACTTCGCCGACGTGGAGCGGCTTCTTCTTGCGGGTGCGGGCGAAACGGGCTTTAAACTCATCGCGCAGGACGCCGCCTGCGGCATCTCCCTCCACAGCCGCCCCGTTGAGGAGTGCCCCATGCACCTCATGCGCGCGGAGGTGGGGCTGCCGTGCCGACCCGCTGAGGTGCTGGCATACCTTAACGTCTCCACGCGACGACGGTGGGACAGGCACATCGCGGAGCTAAGCGCTGTGCGGACCCTTCCGCGCCCGGGCCGGGACGCAGTGGACGCCGCCGTTGTGGATGTCGACAGTGTGACGGAGCTCCAGCTGTTGCCTGGGCAGAGGCGGGTGGCGTTGTACTACATGGCGGTGCGTACCCCCATCCCACTCGTGCAGAACAGAGACTTTGAGCTTGTGGTGGCGGAGGAGGTGCGCCGGGACGGAACGGTGTGGGTCAAGGCCTTTTCTACGCCACTCGGATACGTGGAGCCGCTCGACCCCCGCCAGTCCGTTTACGTGCGGGCGCTTATGCTATTTTCAGGCATTCTGGCGCGGCCGGTCCCTAACTCGAAGGGCAACACGGAGTGCCACGTCAGCTACGTCGCCCTTGTGCATCCCATGGGCCTCATCCCCTCCGTCGTGGTCAACCTCGTGCTGGGCGCTCAGCTGAGCGCCCTTCGGAGGCTACAGCGCTTCATTCGCCGGCATCCACTTTCCACACTTGCCGCGGAGATCACGGCAAGCGAGGCGAGACGTGGCAACGCCGCTGCTCGGCCGGAGGCGACGGAGCAACCGGCTGGGCAGAGTGCCGGGGTGGTGGGGCGGGCGGGAGAGGCCGGCAGTGCTGGCGGCAGCGGGAGCGAGGCTGAGGCGGCAAGAGGCCAAACAACCTCCGAGGTGCGACGGAGGCTTGCGGCACTCAGGGCACGCGTGAGGCGCAAGCTGCCGTCCATGTTGTAGCAGACTGGCGAGGTGAATAGAGGGAGAGAGGGAGGGGGGCGAGGCGAGGCGAAACACAGCAGCTGCTGCGCAGCACGCCTTGAAGGCGATGAGGCGGGTGCGCCTTCTCTCCCTCTCTCGCTCTCTCTCTCTCTTTTTTTTTTGTGTTTGTCATTGCTTTTTTATCCCACCTGCTTTCGTTGTGCCCCTTGTGCTGCTGCTGTTGTTTTTGTTGATTTGCTCCCCTCCCCCACCTGCCTCTCTCCCCTGGCGAGCGGGCGAGAGAGAGAGGAAAAAAAGAAAAAAAAAACTCTGTGGAAAGTCTCGCGGAACCCGCGTACTTCGCCCCCCCCCCAGGCCCGCACGGATGCTGACCTCCTTCTCGTGGGTGCCGAAGGGCGCCATGAAGCCCGTCCCGCTCCACTCCACGGAGAGCCTGGAGACGGTGCGGGAGAAGCTGCAGCGGCAGAACCCCGAGTACGTGACGGAGGAGGAAGTGGCGGCGGCAGGCGGACGCGGGCCACTGGCGGGCGATGAAGACGGCGGCAGCGATACAGACAGGGCCGACGGTGTGAACGCTCTGCAGTTTGGCGGCGGCGGCGACACCATTTTGGAGCAGGTAGAGTCGGACGATGAGGAGGAGGCCAACGACACGAACTTCAGGGAGACGGACATTGTCTTCGTCACGGCCTCCGCCGAGGATCCTCAGCCGCGGCTGGAGCTCTACGTCTACGATGAGCCAGAGGACACCATGTACGTCCACCACGACGTGGAGATCGCAGCCTTTCCCCTCAGCACGGCGTGGCTTACAGACGGCACAATGTCGCTTTGCGCCGTCGGTACGATGCGGCCATTTGTGGAACTCTGGAGCCTTGACGTCATTGACGCGGTGGAGCCGGTCTGCCTACTGGGCGGCTGCGTCAAGTGGGAGGACAACTACAGAAAAAGTATTAAGCCCCGCATGCTGCAGGACGACTCGCACAAGGACGCCGTGATAAGCGTCAGGTGGAACACGTGTGCGCAGCACATACTAGCCTCCGGCAGCGCCGACAGCAGCATTAAACTGTGGGACCTCAACACCTCCAAGTGTGTCGGCACGTACGCGGAGCCAGATAAGCTGCAGAGCCTCGACTGGCACCGCGAGGAGGCGAACCTGCTGCTCTCGGGTGGCTTTGACGCGACGATGGTGCTGCGCGACTGTCGCTCACCCAACCAGGCCGCGCTGCGCTTTGGCACGAACGGCGTCGTTGAGCACGTGGAGTTCGCCCCGCACGGAGGCAGAGTCCTCTACGCCTCCACGAATACGGGCGGCTGGATGGCGTTTGAGGCGCGCATGCATGCGCAGCCCCTGTGGCAGCTGCAGGTGCACGAGGCGGATACCACCTTCGCCGCCTCGCCGCACCTCGCCGGCCTGCTTGCCGCGGGAGGCAAGGACGGCAACATTAGTCTCTGGGACGCGCGCGACGCGTCTCGGCCGCCCACGCAGATCGTATCTCGGTCGTACCGCACGGGGGCGGTCCTCTCGGTGGCGTTCCACCCCAACTCCCCGCATATTCTCGGTGCCTGCGGCAGCCGCGGCGAGCCGCTTGTGTACACCACCACCAGTGACATAAAAGACATATTCCGACCTCAGTAGCGTCCTCCTGCGTGGTCGCCACTTGCCCATTAAATGTGCTCCGATTAAAACAGTAAACGGAACAAAAACGAGAAGTAATGAAAACATAAAAAAATGGGGGAGGGGGGTGATGAAGCAAAGAGAATATCAATCAAGGCTTTACTTCGGTACCGATCACGCACGCGCACCTCCGCACCTACGCCGAAACCGAAGATGCAGGGGGCCCGCGTTGTCGTCCTCCACGTCCCACGCATGCACCGCCACCGCCACGCACCTCAAGAAATGAAGTGGGGAGGCCTTCTGACGGTCTGTGTTTTTGCCTTAGCGTGCGTTTCTCTTGCCTTGCCCTGTTGCGCCCCCAAGCATACTCTCCCAGCTCCAAAGCGAAGGCGCACTCCACACACACACACACACACACGCAAGGCACACCCGAGGAAAAAGCCCACAGATGAGGATCTTCAAGGATGTCCTGACAAACGCCGAGGTCTTCTGCGACAACGACAGGCCCGTGGAGGTCGAGGGCGACGTTGTGTACGTCCTGAAGGGCAGCTACATTGAGGTGGGCGGCGAGGACTACGGCATCTCCGCCAACGTGGACGAGGACGCCGGCGAGGGCGCGACGGGCGACGTCGACGACTCCAAAAAGCAGGTCGTTGATGTGGTCTTCAACAACCGCTACACCGAGACAAGCTACGACAAGAACTCGTACATGGCGCACATCCGTAGCTACATGAAGCGGCTCCTGGAGAAGATTGAGAGTGAGGAGGAGAAGAAGAAGTTC